GTTCAATCCTTGTGGAGCTGGAAGAAAGTTCACCTTGAAGCAGGAGTGTGGCTGGGCCAGATGGAAGAACCCCTCAGGTCCCAACCTGTGCAGGAGGAGTCCCTCTCGCTGAGGAAGTTGCTCCTGTGGGCGAGGCCTGAGAAGGGTGCTGAGTGGGCCTGGGCTGCACAGGCGACCTGGTGATTTACTGTGTTGCTCAAATCTTAGATGGTCTTTTAATAATAATAATAATAATAATAATAATAATAATAAATAAACACCCAGAGCCAGATATCAGGGTCAAAGCTGAAAGATCAGCGAAGCAGAACAGCCAGCCACTGTTCTTACCTCTACGAAACCCTCAGCCTGAAGAGCGTGAGTTCTTGTCTCCTCACGCCTTACATACCTTTCTCTGCCCTGCCATATTACTCCCTGGGATTAAAGGTGTGTGTGCTTCCCAAGAAAAGGCATGAGATCTCAAGTGCTGGGATTAAAGGTGTGTGCCACCACTGCCTGACCTTTGTGTCTAATCTAGCGGCTGGCTCTGTCCTCTGATCCTCAGTCAAGTTTATTAGGGTCCACAATACATCACCACATTGCTGTGGCCTAAGGAAGCACAGTGTCTCCCAGAGGGGTGTCCCTGGGGACTACTGTTATGGTCCCTTGGTGCCTCATCATCTCTTCCTCTTCAAAAGCATCACCCTGGGATCCTCCGTGGGTCTCTGGTCACTGAGCCTTCCTCCTCTGGGCTTTTTAAAACTCATGTTCCCTGTTGGGTGCTCACATGCAAAAAGGTGCCTGGAGGCCTTCAGTCACTCCAAGGGATCAGGCAAGCTTCCTCACCCTGGCCTCTTTGACAAGATGAGAACTGAGAGCGGGTGGACCCCAAAGTCCTCCTTCGTTCTAAGTTCCACAGCCGTTTATCTGCCGTTCTCCTTAGCTTTCACCTTCTATTAATGTTCTCCATCCATCCAGACTGGGAGTGTGGCTTGGACACCACTTGCTTGGTTGTGCAAGGCCCTAGTTGGATTCCCAGACACCACAAAAGCAAATATGTCAGGGTTCTCCCCACCTACCACCACTGCTATCCTCCTGCCTCTGCACAGTAGCTCATGGAGTGCCTTTCTGCTTCGAAGCCAGCAAAGACCTCTCAAAATCCTAGAGGGGGTGTCTCAAATCCCTGTCCCTCTGGGCCCGGCGGCCCATAGCATCCTGCTGTCCTACTGTGTGCTCCTTTTGCTTGGCCTGGAATCACTGAGTCAGGGACAGTGGCCCTGCTCATGATAACCAACACAGACTCACTGAGGTGGGTGTTGATAATCTGCTGTATAAAATATCCTAAACTAGCAGGCTCAATTGAGGCAGAGCTTTTTTTTTTTTTTCTAACATGATCTAATTTATAAACTCCCCCTGGGAAGAAAGGCTTGACAACATGCTTAAGCAACTTCCCAGTGAACTTGAATGGAATTAGGTCTGGATCTGGGAAGGCAGCCACCTCCCAGCTGACTCGGGCTGGACTCTGGTGGCTGGTTTAGAGCTCTTTGTGTCATTCTTGAGAGTCATCTGATGGTCTTTTTTCCCCCCTCTAATAAAAATGTCCACACCAAAATCCATATTTAAGTGGCCTGCCTCTGGGCCATTTTGCTTACAGCAGAACTGTAATAAACCTTTGACCTGGCCTCATGGATTGTCTGCAGGTGTTTCAGCTTTGAATTTTGAAGATGGGAATGGGTTATTCGGAATGCCGATAACATCTTCCTTATTAGCACAAGAAACAGAACCAAGGGTTAATACGGGTGCTAGCTGACACAATTTTGTCAACTTGAAATACTTTCTAATTTTTCTTTTATTTTGTCACAAGGTCTCCTGTTGCCCAGGCTGACCTCAACTATGTGGCTGAGGATGACCTTGAACTCCTGACCCTCTGCATCTCCATCTCTGACGTGCTGAGATTACATCTGTACTGTACTAAATGAGATTACATTTTCAGCCACTATACCTGGCTGAAACTTAAAAATATATTCCCCAATTGGGAGCTATTGAAATTACCCAGTTGAAAACTCATGTCAGTCTTGAGCATTTGATTTCAGATGTCCCAGGTATGCACTCCTTTGTCTTTTCTGGGCCGAGGGACACGGCCTTGAACCGCAGCCAGGGCCTCCATCATTGAGCTGTGTCTCCAGTCCTGTGCTTGTAGTTTCAGTCCTTTCAGACGCCAGATCTCACCACGCCCTCGCTTCCTGTGCTTTAACCTCCAATACCTTTCCCTGTGATTGACCCTATTTTTTTTTTCAATTAAATTGTGTTTTTTGTCTGTGAGTGGCTGTGAGCATGTGTGGGGGTGGGGTGGGGGGTAGCCTTTTATGTGGCAGTCAGAGGACAATCTCAATGGTTTCTGTTCATCCTGTTTAAGACAGTCTTTCCCCTATCCTGGAGCACATGAAGTGAGTTAGACTGGCTGGCCAGAAGCTCCAGGGATCCACCTGTCTCTGCCTCCTTGTTACAGTTTTTTTTTTTTTTTTTTTTTTTGAGACAGGGTTTCTCTGTGTAGCCTTGGCTGTCCTGGAACTAGCTCTATAGACCATGCTGGCCTTGAACTTAGAGATCCACATGCTTCTGCTCCTAAGAGCTGGGATTAAAGGCATGTGCCACCACCACCTGGTACAAAATTTTATGAACTATTTAAAATATGCAAATGTAGGACATTCCTCTAATGGAACCCCTTCCATTAGAAGGAATTTTTTTTCTATTTTCCTTAAGTTTACATTTATTCTGCTGAAAAATTATGTAAATAATAATTCATATACATTTGGGGCAGTGAGGCAGATGGTCCAGTGGCTGAAAAGCTCTTGCCACTTTGACGGTACAAGCCTGATGACCTGAGTTCAATCCGTGGAACCTGAAAGGGAAAAATCAGTAGCCCTCTTGAGAGAGGCTACACCCCCACCACCAAAGGTATTTGCTGACCAGCAGTTTTAAAGCTGACCAGAGATTAAAATCATGGGAAGATAAGACTGGAACAAGGGCCGGGCGGTGGTGGTGTACTTTAATCCCAGCACTCAGGGAGGCAGAGGCAGGCCGGTCTCTGTGAGTTCGAGGCCAGCCTGGTCTACAAAGTGAGATCCAGGACAGGCACAAAAGCTACACAGAGAAACCCTGTCTCGAAAAACCAAAAAAAAGCCGGGCGGTGGTGGCGCACGCCTTTA